GGCAGGTATCCTTTGATTTGTATTCCCGCCTTGAGCAGTGGGTTGGACTGGATGGCCTTGTAGGCCCCTTCCAACTTCACTTTTTCTATGATTCTAATTCATCGGCAGACATAAAAGCAGTGACAGGAATGGATACTATTATGACCATTTTAGAAAAATACAAATCTAGGCCGAAGATCCCTCAAGTGTGCTTTGTTTTTACCTGAAAGTACAAGAATTTAAAAGAAACCAATTAATGAATGCTCACCTTTTAAAATTGATCAGCCTTTGCCTTGAAATGCAAGGCTTCCATGCTGTGTTCTTAAAGGACACATGCAAAATGCATGACGACACAGACCCAGTTTATTTGTAGTATGGCTTAACCCTCTCAAATTCCCCCACACACACACACGCCACACGCGGTAAGGCATATATACCTTCCATCAGCACAACAAATTCCCACACACACACACGCTGCATGCTGTAAGGCATATATACCTTCCATCAGCACAAGGACAACATCTCGCAGGATGCTCAGTGTCGTCCCAAGAACCAGGATGGAAAACAGGAAGGTGCAGATGGGGTCCACATATTTGTATTCTGGCTGAAATAAGAAAGTGGACTATGAGCATTTTGTCAGCCCAGGGGTTGAATCTCCTCTACACACACACACGCTGCATGCTGTAAGGCATATATACCTTCCATCAGCACAAGGACAACATCTCGCAGGATGCTCAGTGTCGTCCCAAGAACCAGGATGGAAAACAGGAAGGTGCAGATGGGGTCCACATATTTGTATTCTGGCTGAAATAAGAAAGTGGACTATGAGCATTTTGTCAGCCCAGGGGTTGAATCTCCTCTTTGATTTGAGAACGAGACAGAGGGGAAGCCATTGCCTCAGACAACAGATGATGGAAGAGCACAGCAGTAGCTTCCTGGCTCTTCCACCTGAATCCCCTCAACTGTTCCCTTCGGTTGGGGAACAGAGCCGTCTCTGCCACACACAAGCTGTGCTGGGACCTCCAACCCGCTATTTGCTCTGTTACATTAGTGCCTCCCTTTTCCTTACACAAGCTGTGCTGGGACTTCCACTAATGTAACAGACTTGCTCTGTTACATTAGTGCCTCCCTTTTCCTCTGGGGAGCTGAAAGCAGCGCGCACGGCTCTGCTCTCCACTGCTTCAACCTCACCGCAACCCTCGGAGGGAAGCCCTGCGGAGAGGATCCCGGCAGAACGTGGATTTGAACTCAGGCCTTCTGTATCCAACACTCCAACCCCATTGGACACGCTGGTCTGCTGCCACATGTCACGTGAAGGGCACAAACCCAAAGTCATGCGCAAGATCATGACCTGAGGAAGGAGACTCCATCTTGTCCTTCCTCTCAGGCAGCAAACAGCCTTGGGTCGGCCATGTTCCCTCCAAACATGCTGTTGGCCTCAAAAGGAAGTTCCCACAGCTCCTTTGGGCTACGCGTAGCTTCCCTGATGCTATTTGACTACAAATCCCATCAGGGAGCCATGTTCCCTCCAAACATGCTGTGGGCCTCAAAAGGAGGTTCCCTTTGGGCTATGCGTAGCTTCCTGGATGCTATTTGACTACAAATCCCATCAGGGCTGCCCAACTTAATCAGTGGATGATGGGAACTGCACTCCTGCAGTATAGAGAGGACCACAAGATTCCCTCATAGGTTCAACTCCATGAGGGGAAAAAATCCCTTCCTGAAAGGTTAGATTTAAGTTGCCCCTCTTTTTTCTCCTTGTATTTTGGCAGGCTGCAGAAATTTTATATTTTGTTTGGCACGGAAGGATGATTGTTGGGGAGCTGACAGATTGTCTCCCCCCCCCTTTTTTTTGACAGTACTGTTTAACATTTAGGGGGCTAGACAAGACCTTGGGACATCCAAACCAAAGACCTCACTTAGACACCAAATACGATATGTGACTTGAGACAGTCGCTCTTTTTAAGCATCTCCCTACCTCACAGGTTTGCTGGGTGTGAGGACAGAGTGTGTGTGTGGGGGGGGGAAGGAGAGTAAGCTGAACTGCCTTGAATTCACTGAAATAAGTGTATGGATGGACAGACGGACGGATGGATAGAGTCATCTTGGCAGGGGGCATTTGATGAGCCAGAATTCCCTCCTGGATTGGACCCCCACCTTGAAATAGATGATGTAGGCAGCTATGAGGACTCCGACGCTCTGCAGAAGATCCCCAACCACATGGATGAAGGCCGCCCGGACGCTGGTGTTCTGCCTCCCCTCCCCGGGCTTCTGATGGCTGTGTCCGTGTCCGTGTCCCGACTGATGGAGGGCGATGCCCATTCTGTATGAGAAGACAGGAGAGAGGGTGGCAGGCAGGAAGAGGAGGCCAAAAATAAGCCAGTTCCTCCTCCATGCCGTGCTCTTTATGATGATTGAGAGCCTCCTTGCCCATTTGTGCCCATTCTGGGGGGCTGTAGCAGAAGTAAGAGCGATGGGTCATCCCCCCCCCCAATCAAAGTCCTCTCAGGTGGAATTTGAAACCGACACTCCCGACTGGTGTTGGCCGCCTGCCTTTCAGAACTCACGAGCTACCCACGGGCTTTCGTCCTTGTCTTCGGTCCACTGTGGGGCCAGGCGAGTTTGGATCTTTTGCCAGTGACCAGATGCCAGCACGAACCAGCCTGTCCCCAGGTGGTTCCTACCTGTACTTTTCTGGATTCCTGCCAGAGGCTCCTGTCTTTTTTTTTTTTAAAGCTCTGGGTAGGATTGCTCCATTCTGGATCAATTCCAGCAACCTGTGGTCGCTGGGACAAAACCAAAGGAGATGGCTCACCACTTTACATTTCCCTTCTGCTTGCAGTTTCCCAATATCATTAAGTGGCTTAAAAAGACAGCTTAACCACTTTGCAACAATGGGAAATTATAAACTTCCTCTGCTCCTCCATTATGAAGAACCAACAGTCTAGGTTGAAAGTCAACAATTTAAAAAAAATCATTAAAAAAAATTAGCAGTCTAATAAAGACATCACCTGCCCTCATTTTTGGAAATCAGTGTTTTTCCTTATCCTTTCCCATCCCTCTTCCCTTTTATGTTGGGTCTCTTTTTTTATATCATAAACCTGCAGAAAGTGACTGTTGACTGTATGTGAGCCACCACAAAAGTCCAAAGAGTGAGAAGTAAATAACAAACACATAACATGTAAGCAACAGAAGACATGATATCCCCATTTCCTGCTACGGCCACCACTACCCCCTTCTTTCTCTCTCCGTCACTTGTTCACAAACATGTACACACCCTTGGAATCAGAATCACAGGCCAGAACTTGCAAAGTAACTTTCTAAAACAATTCATTCTTATTGTTCATTGAAATGACCTTGTTGCTATGCATTACGAGGTTGGAAAAGAAATAAGATCACCTGCTGTATTGCTTGTTACTTTTTTTAAAGCACACAAATACCTTAGGATTCCTAATAGCATAGCACCAAGCTTTGAAAACTGGTGTCAGAGTGCTTCAAAAAACAAACAAACAGTAGAACTGTGGGATCTGCGGAGGATTGGTTCCAAGCCTGCCTGCCCCCCGAAAAGTGTGGATATAAAAACCCTATAGGTAAAGGTAAAGGTTCCCCTTGACATTTAGTCCAGTTGTGTCCAACTCTAGGGCGCAGTGCTCATCCCTGTTTCCAAGCCATAGAGCCAGCGTTTGTTCAAAGATAGTTTCCGTGGTCATGTGGCCAGCGCGACTAGACACGGAACGCCGTTACCTTCCCACTGCGGGGATACTTATTTATCTACTCACATTTTTACATGCTTTCGGACTGCTAGGTTGGCGGGGGCTGGGACAAGCGACAGGAGCTCACTCTGCGTGGATTCGATCTTACGACTGCTGGTCTTCCAACCCTGAAGCACAGAGGCTTCTGTGTTTTAACCTGCAGCGCCACCACGTCCCTGATGACTTACAAAGCCCTAAATGGTTGGGGACCTCGATTCCTGGCAGAACACCTCTGTCCAGTGAGATCTACATCATCTTCCCAGACTGGATGGTGGAGAACACTAACCCTGAGAGAGAAGGCCCAGAAAGAGAAGACTAAAAACGGGGCCTTCTCGGTGGTTGCCCCTCATCTTTGCAACCATGTCCTGCCTGAAACTCACCTGGCCCCTTCACTGAGGAGCTTCAAATGATCACTGAAGATATGGCTTTTCAGGCAGGCTTTCCTGAATTGGTTCAGGAAATTCCTGAAGCATTCCATTTGTCTTCGGACAAACGCTGGCTCTACGGGCTTTAAACGATCACCGAAGACATGGCTTTTCAGGCAGGCTTTCGTGAATTAGTTCAGGAAATTCTTGAAGCATACCATTTGTCTTCGGAAAAACGTTGGCTCTACGGCTTGGAGACGGGGATGAGCACCGCGCCCTAGAGTTGGACACAACTGGATTCAATGTCAAGGGGAACTTTTACCCACTTTAAGTCAGCGTCATCACCTTGACACCGGCACGGAAACAAACAGGTAACCAGCACAAGGTGGCCAGAGTAAGAGAGATGTAGTGGTCTTTCTTCACCTCAACCAATAGTCTGGCCGCCATTTTCTGGACCTGTGGAAGTTGCCATGGCAACCTCCCAGGCAGCCCCATGTACAGTAGTCTAATCTTGAGACTACCAATGCCCAACTAATTCCAGATTTACAGACCCTCGCTGTCCAAAATGTTTCTTGACATCTGTAAGCGGTAGTCTTGCAGAATAAAAAGCGGAAGCACCAGGACATTTTTAATGAACTGGAACAGGACCGCTGTCGGCCACCGCTACCCCACCCTCGCTGTTCTCTCCGAGTTTAGCGTCAATCTTCAAAACAGCTGGAGGAAAAATGATTTTCCAACATCTGCTGTCAGCCATGCATTTTATATGGCAAAGTTATTTCTCAGTGGCGTGGTCCTGGATGGCAATTAAGAGCCGTTCAGCTCCTGCTGGTGCTGAAAAGCGACAGAATTGCTTTGTTGATTTGGATCAACAGAACTGCCCGCATTTTAAGACTCTCCGTAAGGATACGGTTAACAGGGATTGGCGTAAAACGACTGGAACATTAGGGTTTAATCCTGCACCGCTGTTCATACTTACATGATATTCACTGCTACCGCACAACCGGAGGTGATCAGCATGGCCTGCCCTTCTATCTCATATTCACCCGAAACCAGTCGTTGCACTGCTAAGTAGACCAGGACGCCCGTCACCACCCAGATAGACAGCACAGACAAGAGGGCGCCCAGGATCTCTGCAGAGAAAGCCAGCCAAGTTTGGACGAGTCAGAAAACCATGACAGCATGATTGGATGTGTATCAGCTCAGGAGTAAGTCTGTACACACTGCTACCTATGCAGACCTACAGATGTTCAGGAGAGTTTTAGTGTCTACAGCAACCCCTCATGTCCTTCCAAGGTTTATTAAAAACACAACAGTGTTACAAGTCATAGGATTCCACGAGACAAGACTTAAAACAACTATTACTGGTTGGGAAAGCCAACGAAAACAGGATCTATTGCTTTTTACTGTGCAGTCACAGAAGCTGCTGTGGCTAATTGAGGAGGTCCTAGTTTCATACTGGTTGCATGCCTGGTCATACGCTCAGTCATGTGTCCAGCATGTGACCAGCACCATGTCATTTACTCACGGTAGCTTCTAGGAGGTAGTCAGATTTTGACCTACCTGCTGAATCTGACTTTCCCCAGCTAATAACAGTTGCTTTAAACATTATCTTATCAAGCCTTACAATCTGTAATCTGCTGCATTTTAAGCATGTTCTACTGAATTCCAACGAGCATGGCCAGTGGACCAGACCCATGGCTGGCTTCTTTAAACTCTGCAAATTTATTGCAAGAATGGGAAGCAATATAACTTGTACAGTATTTTTAAATAATAAATGGGGGAGGCCATTTTCATGGTGCCACCACCCCTACAGCTACTGGTGGGGAGACGGCCTTTCTTTGTGGCTGCTCCCAAAGACTGTGGAACTCCCTCCCACTGGAGGCCAGACTGGGCCCATCTTTGATGTCCTTCCACAAGCAGGCAAAGACTTTTCTCTTCAGGCAAACTTTCCCTCAGCGACTGGCTAAGAAGGGTTAAAAAATTTTGAATGTTGTTAGGTTTTACTCTTTTAAAATCTGTTTCCGTCACATTTTAGGCTAACATTTTAAAATAGGATATTTATTGAATTCTTTTAAAATATTTATATAATGTACTGTTTTTAGTTTTTAAATATTGTCTTTTTAATGAGGTAAGCCGCCTTGGGTCTCCCGCCTTGGGAGAAAGGTGGGATAAAGATATTTTAATGAATTAATCCAATAAACAAAGAAGTGAGGAAGTGCGGTTGGTGGGGGGGGGACTGCCATCCTGAACTTACCGGCACGATGCCAGCCAAAATTCATGGTTTTGGTAGCTGGCCGAGAGGACATCCAAAGCGAAAAGAGGCTGATCATCATGCTGGCAAAATCAGTCATAAGGTGAGCGGCATCTGTCATGATGGCCAGGCTGTGAGCGAAGTAACCACCTGGGAAGGTAGGTGGAAAGAAGCATTAAGGAGTATTAATGGCTCACAGGGTATCTGAGGTAAGTCACCTCAGGACATCATTCTGGGAGAAAGGCAGGGTACAAATCAAATCAAGTCAATCAAAACTACCATGTGTGAGAGATATAGTCTAGCTTAGATGTTTACCCTGCCACACTAGATTTCTCCAAGCATGGAGTTTAAACACAAACCATCAAACAGGCAAGGACACTGTCAAAGATTTATTTGGAATCACTGCAAAAGCATGTCTCTCTATTCCATAGCAGGAAGTCTGAGTTCAGGGGAGATAGCATGATGGAGAGGGAAATCTTACTCTAGAAATCCATCCGCCGTGCTAGATTTCAGCATGCATGGAGTTTGTTAGTTTTAAAATAAAAACCACAAATAAACAAGAAATTAATAAAGCCTGCAACCTTGCATTCCTGTTCTTCATGTCTCCTTAATTTCCAAGAAAGCTCGCGTGGTGGCAGGAAAGACGCTAACCTAGTCTTCTACCTGTCAGGCTAGATTTCTACACACACAGGCTGAAATGCTGTATGAAATCACATTCATTGAATCAGTGGAGAGTTGATGAGTCAATGTTTGAAAATGTCATCATTTCGAATGGGCACAGAGCCATCTGAAATAGTGAAACTTACAGAGGACTGACTCATTAAATCCCCATGGATTCAATGGGTCTACCCTTGTATGACTTACTATGTTAAGCAACGGGATTTCAGCCACAAAAGCAAAAGAAGGCTACATGATTCTGTCCCTCACAATGCATTTCCCTGCTTCCTAGATTAAGAAGCTCAGCCTGTTAAGAACTAACAGAGAAAGGTTCCAGCCTAGTCTTTTACCTGCCATGCTGGATTTCTACATGCGGAGGGTTCTTAGAAAAATAACAGAAGATCTTTAAGTATGTGATGCTGCCCCAAGGCATTTACAAGTGGTACAAGTCCCGAGGAGGTGATACAAGCTAAGGTCTCCCAATCTGTATTGACTACTGTTGTTTTCTAAGTAGACATGGGGACAAATTTTAAAAATGCATCACAATATTGGTAAGAAATCGCTGATTCGCTCAATATTTATTGCTTTGTATTCGTCCGTTCTGGAGATCCTGACAAATACGAAGGGACAAATGTACATGTTTTTTAGTTGTCCTCCTAGGGGCTGTCTAAGAAAACCCCCGAGAACTGACGAACTGATTTGTGGTTTGTCAGTAAAACATTCGTAAATTTGTGGTTCGTCCACCTTGACGAACCACGAACCAAATGGCAGTTTGTGCCAGTATATTTTTCCAAGCTTTACCTCCATCACCCCATTCCCTTCTTGGTGGGAAGGTTGCCCAAGAGAAAACTACACAAAAGAAGCATCGGGAATCCTTACCCACAACTTCCCCTGTCATGAAGACCAAGCAGATGACAGACGCAAGATAGAGCTTCCTCCGCGCGCTCGTTTTCTCAGCATCATAGCAGCTGCTTGGGGCCCAGCTGGAGTGGCAATGCTGGGTCCCCTTCAGACCCAGCTCAATGGAGGCAAGGTCTGGGACGTAGCTGACCATCGACCCCTGGAAATTCGCCCCCGAAATGCCTAAATAAGACCTGCAGGGCAAAATGAATGAATAAATAGATGATCATGTGCCAACAACTCAATTCTAACTTATGGCAACTCTTTTTCAGAGTTGTCCAGGTAGAGAGTACAGTGGTGCCTCGCAAGACAGTTACCCCGCATGACAGTTTTTTTCGCTAGACATTGGCTTTTCGCGATCACTATAGCGATTCGCAAAACAGTGATTGCTATGGGGGAATTTCGCTGGACAATGTTTGGTCCCTGCTTCACAAACTGATTTTCGCTAGATGATGATTTTGACAGCTTCCTCCGCACTCGCAAAACGGGTGTTTTTGGGACCTAAGCTTCGCAAGACAGCGATTTAAACAGCTGATCGGCGGTTCGCAAAGCGGCTTTCCTATGGCCGATCTTCGCTAGACAACGACGATTCTTCCCCATTGGAACGCATTAAAGAGGTTTCAATGCATTTCTGGGGATGTCCCGAGACTCTGAATCTTGCCCAAGGCCACCCAGGCTGGTCCTTCTCCAAGGAGACCAAGTGGGGAATTGAACTCGCTCCTCAGCCAGAGACCTCTACCACGGAGCTATCCATCCAGCTCATGATTAAAAAAAAACTACTAAAAAAATTAAAACCAGAGATCATCACAGAGGGAGAGCTCCAAAATTCTACCTCTCTGTTCCCAGTCTGGTACCTCCCGGTTGTGGTGGGGGGTGACACTGCCCATTATCCCCAAGTCATGCTGGATGGGGATGAGGGCAGCAGTCATCCAACCCATCCGGAGGGGTTGGATGACCGCTGAACTGTAAGCAAAAGGTATGCTTGGGAAAGTCCAAGCGGTATAATTTAAACATATTAAGACCATCATTATTAGTCTATTTGAGGCGTAGTTTTAAAAACTGAATTTTACGGTTGTTCCAATGACGTAACACATGTTTTCACAGTGGGTGGGAGATTCTGGTGGGCAAAGAAGTCATTGATAAACAATTTTTAATGGGTGTTGGGTTTTTTTCCCCTGAATCTTTTTTGCGACAGTGCTTTCTCTGACCAGACCCCATGGATTGTCCGGTTCTTCCCCACGACCCAGCCCTCGTCCGAAGCGAGATGGAATGGTCGTTTTTGAAGGCAGAGGATGGACCTCCGTGAAGTCCAACATGGAGGGGCACAGATCCATGGGGCAACTTTTCTGAAAGTTCTCTGACCCAAGCACAACCCATTCAACCCCCCTTCGAGGGCAGGGCCTTGGCCATCTTGCCTCCGGTTTCCAGACTGACCACCCAACCTCTGCCGACCGATGCCCACACCTTGGGCTGAGCTTCTGCAAGGAAGGTGGGACACCAGCGTTCAAGACGTCCAGCTCTCTCTAAAACAAGGACACCAAACAGTTGGCCATTCATTGGCCACGTTGGGTGGCGTCGACGGGAGCCAGAGACCCACCTCCAAAATTTAATTTCTTTTTACCCAAACGCTGATGTGTCCCTTTTCCCAGAACAGTTTGTGCCCATTTTATGCCAGACTGCGCATAACGAAGCTCTTCCGGTTGACATTCATCGAACTGGATCAACGACCCACTTCTGCTGCCATGTGTTCTAATCCCACGCTGGTGCCACAATCATCGTGAAAGATAAGAATCCACGCCCCGCGCACACAGCGCCACAATTTTAAGCACTCTTATCGCAGATATAAAATGATGTCAAGGTTGCCTAGCAGGGAGGAACGACATTCTGCGCCTGTCCCGTGGGTAGACTTTGGAAAGGTGTGTGTTTTTCTATTTAAAATATGGATGGAAAAATCTTCTAGCCATCAGCCTATGGAAGGCTGTGAATTAAAGCTGATGTTTCTGTGTGGGTCAGGCTGCCTTAGAGGTTTAAAGGAGGCGCAACAGGAACCAGTTCAAGAGATAAAATCTCACCTTTGGGGTAAGAAATCCACCGGATTATCTCCAATCAGTTTTTCATTTCTTGCAAGATCAAGTTGAGAGGGGAGGAAAGGAGCATTGACACAGGGTCTGCCCCCTCCCCAGTTCAATGGGGCACAGAAAAGAGGGAGAAGAGAGGCCCTGTTTACTCAACTGTAGACCAAAGGCTGCAATCCTTTTGGAGGGTCACGACCTGGGAGGTAAAGCAGGGTCCCGATCCTTTCGTCCCCCAAAGAACGAAATAATTTCACAAACCTGCCCTCGGTGGTTTGTGCTTCCTTGGGAGCAAACCCCTCGAGAATCTCGAGGGCTTAAGTGCTTTAGGGATCGGGGTGTAGCCCAGGGTCCGTGCGCCGCCCACTTCTAGTCCCACTGCCTTCTCCGGGGGGGGCTTGCTCCCGAGTAAACCAGCTGGGGATCGGGCTGTGCCAGAGGAAGGCTGGGTGCGTGGGTGGTTGTGTGGGACTGGCAGATCGGCGTTGGGTCCGAGAACTGGGGGGAAGAGCGAGGGATCGGAGGAGCGGGTGTGTATGGGCTTCGGGGCGGAGAACCAGGAGCCCGAGAGAGAAAGGGAGGCACGCACTCACCTGCCTTCCAGGCCCTTGAGGAGGTGGCGTCTTTCGGTCCCGCCGGCCTTCGTCTCCATCCCTGCCCTCCAGCAGGTGCGCCCCCCCTTCCCGGGCCCGATCCTGCACCCACTTGCCAGAGACCCCCACCCACCCCCCGCCCCTGCGCCGCCCGCCTGCTTGT